AAATTTAAGATTTTCTGTAACTTTTAAGAAGGAAAATAAATGAATAACAACAAAAATAAGTCTGTGGTTGTAATATTTGCAATTGTTTAATATTTTTTTTTATGGAAGGATTATATTTGGAAGATTACTTGGAACATTTAAAATTGTTTTTATTTACATTTTATACAGTATTAATTCTGTTCTATTACAGAAATTTCATAAATTAATAATTGTAGTTTGACAGGAATTTGGAGTTTAATCACTCAGACATAACATTTTTTTCCATCTCAGCAAGAGTAATATTTAGGTATGAAGAGATGGTCAAAGCCCAATATCCTAACAGTCAATCAGAATATATTTGGGCTGTAATTAAGCTAATTGTTTAATAATTAGGTTAATTATGGTTAATTTACATAATTCTGCCTAAAGGTAGGCAATTACACTGACATCTTGTGCTAAGATTAATTATTCGAACATTAATATTAAATAAAATTAATTAATTTAGAAGATTCAGGAAGAAAAGATTGACTGGGAATAAGACTCTAGCCCTAAAAGTCTTCTTATCATGCAGATTGCTAGTTACATTACCAGGATCTCTGATTTCTGTCCACTCTTCACTTAGAGCCGTACGGTGTGACTTTGATATACAAGAATTTGGTATAATGAGCAGCTTTATTTTATCTCTCTCCCTCATTTACAAAATAAAATATTTAATAAAATGAGTGTCAATTAACATTTAAGAGAACAAGATATTCTAATTGTGTGTGATAAAATTGAAATTTCCACCCAAACTGATGAGACAGCTCATAGTTTGTTCTCCAGTTTCTTTGTTTCACTTACATTACCCCTTCACTTGCCAGAGACAATTTGCTTTCTCCATTTCATATTAGTTCATTTTATATTAGTGAATAATGTAATCAACACTTTAATTGTAGGGTGAAATGGGTTACGTTGAAACAATGCTCAAGAAGTAAGAAATAGAAAAACTCGTCCCTATCTATATGAAAGGTTTTCAAATCAGGATTATTTTGTCTTAAATTAGGTCGGTGGTTCCCAAACTTTTCCTATTACAGTCTCCTTGGTTCCATAAATTCATTCTCAGTGCCTCTTATCTCTGCCCTATGTAAGTATTTTTAGAATATTGGCCTGTTCTAAAGTCAGTTAACAAGTTTTATATTGCCATATTGAATAATCAATTGTCAATTTTCTTGCAAGGAGAGCAGTTAGAAGACTGCACTAAAAACATGTTCTGTGAAACATGATATTCAGAACACAAGGAATTTCTTAGTATCTAAATTAATATTTGTGTTTGCTGTTCAACCGATGCTAATTTAGTGTAAGAATGTTACATTCTGGGCTAGATAATTAATTGCATTAACCTCACCAATTGATCCTAAATACCATAGGTGTAAAACTGCTTGAAGGAGCCATCTACAATGCACTTCTGCCATTCACTTGATAATCCCATCACCCTCTGGTCAACATCTACAGGCAGTATCCTAACACTTTTATTCCCAAAGTGATAGACTGCATAGCGATTTGGTTTAATGCCCGCTATGCAATTAACCCATACAGAAATTGAATAAAAATTCCAAAAGTATTTAAGATTAGATTCGTATTTATTAAGATTAAGTTTAGAATTTTACATTATAGAATATAAATTTGTAAAAAATTTGGTTTTTAATATCTGTAATTGTACATAAATCCAGGAGTGTGTATGAGAAACACTCCTACTAAAAGTATAGTAGAAATTTATTACTGTTACAGTGACATTACAGTTAAGCAGAAGTATTAAATGACAATGGAACTGGCATTTTATGTTATATAAAGGAAATGACTAAAACTGATATTATAATCAACAGAATAAGAATCAAAATATATTGACCCATATTAAAATATAATTACTTATTACAAATTTCATTTGAAATTTATTTGATATATAATTATTTCTCAGATTATTATTAGTAAAGAACTTCACAAGTAAATTTATGATTTTTTTTCCTTTTGTAATCATGATAATTGTTATCTGTTTATATCTGCTTGCTCACTTCCATAACAATAGAGGTGAACAAGCAGGTTCTAATCAAATGTTTAAGGACATTCCCGATAAGTTACTGTAACTCAAAACCACTGCAATCCTGTTTCTAGTTTTTCATAAAAATTGTTTTTTGGCGATTATATGGGGTCTTTTGAAAAGAATGCCACTGTTTTAAACTATTGTAATCATGGTAATTATTACCCGAGAAATGTGCAATGTAAATTGATCAGAAGAGTTTAAATGTCTGGGTTTCAACTACCATTTGAATACAAATATAATAAACATCCCGAAGCTTGATTACTGCAATTAGTTTGGCATCTGAATACAAATGTGTTTTTGTCTGCTACCTCTAGGAAGTGCCATAAACAAAAATGGCAACTCAATATTAGAGAAAGCATTTTGTGTTTGCAAAGTCGGAATTGGTCACCTTTGTACAACACGAGTTTTGCAGACGATTTTGAAGTGATGCACTGTTTAAGGCAAGCATTCTTGTTTCATAATGATGACCAATTCCAAGTTTACAGACTCAGGAACACACGGTGCCTTCTTTAATTCTTAATACTTTTGTTTTTGTAATTAAAACTGCACCAAAGATTATCTCATTGATACTTTGTTTAATCTTTGGCACTTTTACAGGTATTTTATAGCAAACTTTTCAAAGTTTGCTATAAAATACAATTCTCATTTTCATCAATTCATTGCCAGGATACACTTTTTTATTATTAGATCTGATTTCCTATCTTTGATATTTTAGATTTAGAGATATGAAAACTATTTATTCTTTTATCTGAAACATTAAATATTTATTTAGGATTTTTTTAAATATATAAAAATAAATTCAATATAAATTGATACCATAATAAGCAAATATATACTTGGATACAGTACATATGTGTATAATGTATACTGATTCTGCAGTTTTATAATATAAGAGGTGAAATGTTAAGTCTTTAAATGGCAATGTGGATGATTTTATAAATGTCTTCTAATAATGAAAAGATTTTTATATATTTGTACTTTTATTTAAGCTTATATCTGGTTGCGATGCTGAATTAAATGGAGAAAAATTTGTTTATTCTAAACTTTTGGACTCGTTTGTCATGCAGTGTTTATTTTGAGTTGATAACAGTATTTAATCTTGTGGAATATTTACAAAGTTTAGAAGAATTTTCTGATGACGTGCAGAGAGTACAAATGCATTTAAATCAGATAGCTTTTCTTTTCTGCTTGCTCAAACGTCGAAGTGATTAAAGATACTACAGACCCACACCAAGATATGTTAGTTATGAGAAAAATAAATCATCTTCAGTGTTAATGGAAAAATTGACTTAATAACAAAAAGCACTTTAATCACAAGTACTTTGGATGGATGGCCAAATGTTTAAGGTGTTGGCCTATCACTCTGGAGGACTGGGGAATGAATTCAAACAGGTCAAAAAACCCTGAGCATTCTGATCTGGCTACATCCCTCGCTGCTAAAACATTTCTAAATTAAGACATGGTCAAAATAAGAGGTTCTGTCTCACATATTAGGAATATAGAGGCAAATAAATATGAGCAGTATCAGGAGAACGATGGCTCCGAGATGTTTTTAATTTACAGTATATTATTCTAATGTTGACAAAAATGGATTCAGGAAAACTATTTGTAATATTACAATTTTTCTCTTTTAAATTTGAACGTTCGTTTTTGTTAAATGTTTCAAAAGTATTACTTTACACTAGTTTCATTTTAAACTTTAACAAAATCTTAAATGTTTTTAGTGATTTAAACACACTGAAACATCACTCTAAACTTCATAGTTTTTTCATGGTTTAAGTTTTTAAATATTTAAAACCCAAGTGCTTTCAATTCTCTGAAAGACAAACCATCAAAGTTAAAAAGTGTTTGAGTTTTAAATATTTAAAGAAACTTACTCCAATAAAACACAAAATATTTTTGATTATTATAAGAAATTTAATACTAATGTGGCCCACTGGTGACAGAGTGGATAAAACTGCCAAATGCTGGTTTGTGCCTCGTCAACCACATGGAGTTTTTGGGTCATTTGTAACACCTGAATAGTGGCCAGTTTCCCATAGAAAGTTCTCTGGAGAGGCATTTCCTCGGCAGATTGTCACGTGTCTCATTTTGGTATACAAACAAACATTAGTAATCTAACTATAATAATGATAATTTATAATAAATCAATATATATTTAAACATCTTAAATATGAATACTATTTTTTTTTACAAAAGTTAGTGTATAGCTTTATTATTATGAAAAAAGTAAAAATAATTTTAAAAATTGTATGTGTAGATTTAAATTGAGACTAATTTTATAGCGACTCTAGGCAATAAATGATTTTTAAGATAAGTTAACAAGATTAACACACTTTTCCTTGTTTGTAAGTAATATTTTTATCAGTGGGATGCCTTTTATGTTTACTTTTTGTCAGGAGAAAAATTAAATTTATATCTCAAATACTCGTAGCATTAATTATCTTATTTTGATTGTCAACGTGTAAATAAATATTTATGTTGCTAATTTTGCGATTAATTTACCACGTAATTTAAGTTAAAAGCAGTAGGTTTTCTCGAAATGAGGTCGGCTTGTTACCTGCATCTCTTTGACCTCAAAATGTTGTGAAAGTGACTGTAAGGATGGGTAGTTTTGTGATAATAAACATTATTATTTATCCATTTATAAAATATTAAAAAGTAGGTTATATAGTTGGGAGTTGGTTTAAGTAACACAATTTTTTTATCCGTTTAAATGTTTACTTTATTTTCTTCCTTCTAGAGAAGATGCAAGCTTTAGTGGCATATTATATTTATATTTTAGAAAGTGTGAAGTATTTTGCTGGAATTTTAAGTAGTTTTGTATTAAATTTATTTTTGAAATACGAGAGTTACTCATGCACTTTTTCTTACTCGAAGCATATTAATATATAAGTAAAAGCTTTATTGGGAATTCTGATCATAATTTAATCACTTTTTTCAGGTTTTTAATGGAACTTTATGATGTAAAGATATAATATTTTTGTGTTCAACAAAGAAACATGAAGAATAGACAGAATTGTTCACAGATTATTTTCAAACATGAGTACGTATCTTGTCATAAACTCATTGCTGTCATTTCAGATAAAATTACAAAGCAGTTTATTTTTAATATAGGTAGTAGCACCCTAAAAGAAGAAGAATTACTGGAAAGAGCAAATGAAGAAAGAGCCACCATTGTTGAGAAATATGATCTTGGAAGAGACGAATCCAATCACATAGATCCCTGGGAAGATCCGGCGTTCGAAGTCTATCATGTTACTGACAGATACGGATTTATTCAGTAAGTATCATGACAATTATTTAAATCGTATTCTTGCTTCTAATTCTATAAAAGTTCTGATATTAAAAAAAAATAAATCTATTTGCATTTTGATTTTAGCAATCATAGACTTCCTGACAAATTAACTTCTCATGAAGCCAAGGTAATTTCCATGTTTCATTAAAGAACTGTATCATATATTTTATTAAACTTCAATTAAAATAAGTTACTTTATGTTAATTATATATTTTACAACACAATTATTGTATGTTAAACCAAAACTGATTATATTTACATGCAACATACATTTGATAGGAACTATTTTTATCTTTAGTTTAAGTAGTATTTAAAGAATGACAAATAAGTTTTATTTAAAATTTATATAAGTTTATCCTTGACAGTATAATAATATATTGTAGTAAACTCAACACTCATACAATTAAAATCTCAGTTATTGATACACGATAGTCCTGTTTAATTTTATTCAAAAGTAGCTATTAATGTCGGGAGTATTGATAACTATATAAGTTATGACAGTGTTCGGTGTCAGATGACAATAGCAGATGAGTAACAATTCATTCCACTTTTTTTTTATATTCTTTGAAAGAGCTATTATTTGCGCACACGATATACTAAGAATAGAAGGCATTTTTCTCTTGTCTTTAATTCTGGAAACCAAATTAAATTTTATTTGGAAACCTTTTATGTAAGAATGTCTCTGCTGGAGAATTATAAAAAGTATTAGAATGAACACACTGAAAAAAGAGACCATTTCTAAACTTTTTCAAATTTAAAATTACAAGAAAAGTTATAATTATATACAGAATTTAATAAAATAAAATCAAAATAAATTAAAATGGGAAAATAAACAAGATGAATTGAGAATAACATTATAATGTTGAATGCAAATTGGCGGCCACCCACGCTTCAATGCTACATGACCTTCAACGGACACCCTCCTGAATATTGATGCATCTTCTAGATAAAGTTAGAAAGGACTTTTGATTAGAAAAGTCATAATTGCGAGTCTAAAATGGCAGTCCATCTACTGTCTGAGACATAGGAATCGTGGGCATTAATTATCATAATTTAGCATATGAAAATATGTGTAGCACTGCTTCATTAGTTGGATCATTTACTTATCTGCTTGGCTTTTAATAATTATAGGGCATAATTGTAAGGCTATACTAAGAATACTTTATCAAATTATTTCTGTAGAAAACATAAACTTTTAATCTTAAATATAAAACACAAATTGAAACATTAAAATTAATTACTCCTTTATTACAGTATTTAAAAAAAGTAGAAAAAAATTGATGTTCAACTAAGGTTAAGCATAAACTTAAATGTAGAAAATATTAATTAGTTAATAAATAGTTGAAATAAAATTTAGAATATAATCTTTAAGCATTTAAAAAATAATTAATATTTATGATTATGAAAAGCATTACTCATTTCTTAAAAATGATTAGCATTTTTGTTTTCTAAATTGGCCTTGAAGATGGATTTAATTAAACCAAAATTAATTCATTTTTTAAATAAACACAAATGCTATAAAGTGTGTTTTTCCTACAGTTTATAATTTTTTATCTAAGAAAATTGTATTATTTTTGCTTTATTATTAATGAAAGTTGCAAATAAATAGCAAATTTGAAATAGAAAGTTAAGTAATTCTGTTTAAAAATGTGAAAATTGTTCATCTACTGTTAAAATGATATGACCAAGCATAAAAGTTTACTAACAGATTGTCTATAACCGGCACTAAATGCATTAAAACATAAAAATTTTAATGAAAAATTACAAAATTAAAAAAAAGGTGTTAAAAACATTACATATATATATTAGAAAGTTCATAAAATTAATATCATTATGATTAATTTGTTAAAACAGTAATTTTTAATCAGCATATTAGAAGTTAGTGTTATATCCAAATTTATATAAATATTCTCTCTCTCTCTGATTGTAATTAAGATACACAATTTATAAAATAAAAAATTTACAACAACTTGACTTTTTTCATAGTTGCGAGAATTGGAGAATGAAAGGCTTAACAAATGGCTCAAAATGCTCAAAAATTGGGATAAATATTCTAATGGCGAAAAGGTAAATATTTTCTAAAATTAAATTTATAATTTAAGCAATTTATTGATTATTATATCAAGCATTGAAATAATACACTGTTTATGTGATTTATTTTATTTTATTGCAAATGAAAAATGATATATATATATAAGCTTAATAATGTTTGAAATGTATATTATTCAGCAATAAGATCATACAGTTCTTGTGCAAGATTTATCTAGATGTTTAATTTTGTTCTCATCTAATACTTCATTTTTTCTTAACTATTTCTTGAAATTACAAGGGATACTTAACAATTGAGAAGTGTATTTCTTATCAGACATTCTTCTTTTATTATATTTTTTATTTTTCAAATTTATAATTATAACAATGTACACTGAATTATCATCATCAGATATGTATTTTAAACCCATCTTTCAATGCTCGTTTTTAGGCCAAAAAAAAATAACAAACGTAGTTGATACATTTGTTTAAAAAATCTTAATACTTTTATTATGTTTTCCTATTGTGAATGTTGAAGAAGATGGTTGTAATTTTATCAAAAGTACTTGTGAATTATATAAAACGGGTGGTCAAACTTTGTCCCAATAGGAACCATACACTGCCTATCAGAAATACATGAGAACTGCATCATCTATTTATATTATGTATAGTTAAAATACTATAGTTATCACTGTTACTTTATGATTAACTAGGTAAAAAATATTTGACTTTTTGAATGTATCTTAAGCTTTCAGTTGCATGCAGTTTAAGTTGCAACTACATATACAGTCCTTGTTTATACTATATACGTAATAGTCAGAAAACTTACAAAAATATTATATATGTGTAAGTAGTATGTACTGTACCGAATTCATGACTATACAGAACATTAAATATTGCCACTTTCTGTAATTTTTTTTAAAACCGTTAACATTTCTTGATAAATCTATGAAGTCGGTTTCTTTTTTATTGCATGTAATTTAATACTCTCTTAAAAATTTTTAGTTAAAAAGACGAATCTATAAGGGAATACCCAATGCGGTACGAGGAGAAGTATGGTGTCGTATACTTGACGTAGCACGTGTTAAAGTAGAACAAGAAGGAAAATATAAGGTAAGATTAATATTAAAATTATTGAAGGTTTAAAGTAAATTAATAATCAAATATTCTGTTAAATATAATCACAAGACTATGCTGTTAAGAAATATTGTCTTACTTGAAAATAATAATAATTTTAAAACCTGCACACTTGAAATATTGTTATTTAATCATGGAAGATTTTTCTTATTGTTTTATTGATGTTTTTTTAAATAATAATAGCAACAAAAATGTCTAGGAAGCATTTACTCACAAAAGTGAGGTACATATTATTTTCAAATATATTGAATTAAGTTTAGATAATTCCAACTGGATATGGAAAATGATGGTAAAACAGCTGTAAATCTCCAGAAAATGTTTTAATTACAAATGGTTTTGATCAACATTCGAAAATATTCATAATTAAAATGTAGCTGCTGGATATTTTATATAAATATATTACATATATATATAAATGTGAGACTTTTCAGCAAAAATTATTCATTCGTTTATTGCTTAATTTATGAAAAGTTCAAAATTCTTAAAATTTTATCAGAGGAATGTTGTTAATAATAGTAAAAAAAATGACTACTTTATATTGGATAACGAATATGGGAAATGTTTAGAAGTTAAATTTTGGATATGATACAAAATATAACATTTATCATAAAGAAATGTGTGTATAAAAATTGAAACACTTAATTTTATGAAAAAAATTAAATTAAAAAACAATTAAAAAATTAAAAAAGAATCAAAACATGTCTAATATTTAAAAATTTATCTAGCTTCAAATACTTCTAACAACAAATGAGAAATGAAACAAAAATATTTTAATACACAAATGAAATAAAGAAAATTATTATGTAATTGCTATATTTCTTTATTGAATGTCATCGTATGTCATTTTCACTTTTTAAATTTGTTACATTCCTTCTGTATTTTAATTTTTCTCTTATTCTCATATAGCTTTAAAATATCACAATATATTTTAGATGTTTATCTTCTCTCATTTAATACACAAATTTTTCTGATTATTCATGGATAAAATAATTGGAAAGTTAATTTTTCTGTTGTATGTTTTATGTTGGATCACTTCTGCAATGTGCTAACAGGATAATCTACATACATTGTTATTGTTGACTCGTTACTTAGTTTATAATTTAAAATAAACTTCTGATGCATCCAGACCTTTTAATAATTTTTACTAACATTTTCTTCTTAGATAAAAATGCTTTATTTTTCTTTACTAGATAAAATTGTTATTTCTAATTTTTATTGTATTTATATTAAATGTAGAGCTTTAAATATACATTTTTAATAGTATTCAATGTATTTTTGATTTTCTAGGAGATGAGAGAGTTGGCAAGAAAATGGTCTCCTGATATTAAACAAATTGATTTGGATGTGAATAGGACTTACCGCAATCATATTATGTTTAGAGAGCGATATAATGTCAAGTAAGTAGTAAATTTAGTTTTATAATACTTTTAATCAAATTACATATTCACAGTATAATAAATAAATTTTTACAGACAGCAAGCTCTTTTCCATGTTTTAGCTGCTTACTCATTGTATAACACTGTAAGTAATAGTTTTAATTTTAATGCAGGTTGATATTTAAAAATCATGTGATTTAAAATGATTTCACAATGATTTATTATTTCAGACTATAAAAAATTTAATATTTTAACAGTTCTTTTCCCCAAATTAAAATTTGCATGAAATTAGTATATAGATTTTCAATTAATTTTCATTCAATATTAATAAGTAGCAAGTATCCATAAAAACATTTGCTATCAAGTATCTTTTTTGTAGAAATCACTACCTTAAAGATGAAGTTTCTAATTTTATTTTTCTGGCAAAAACTGTAAAAGAATTAAATCTCATCACTCTAGAAAAGGTTACACAAAATGATATCTCTCAAAAAATGAATTTCTTCTACCTTCAGGCTCTATCTCCAAAAAAAGTGATATTGCTCAATATTTAGTGTGAAAAAGTTCTGTAAGAGTTATTGATCGTTTTTTCACACTAGATATTGGGTGTTATTGATAAAGGATGCTAATTACATAAATTCAATAAGATGCTGAGTTTGAAACTTGATTTAAAATTTTTTTTTGGATATAGAGCCTATTCCCTTGGGGTGGGTAGACTTACATATGCACAAATATTAAAGTGCAAAGAAATAGCACTAGGTTATTTGCTAAGTGAGCTCCAGAAAGGAGTCTAATGTATCAGTGTCCTTTTCAAGCAAACAAAAAGTAGGTTTTTTGTAATGAATGTTTTACTTATTAAACTCGGATAAAATTTTTAACATTAACCAAATAAATTCATTATCATTTAAATTAATGATATTACAATAATAATTTTATTTGGTAATTTTTTATCATGTACTCAGAAGATATCAGTATTGGCCTTTTTTTTTCAATTGCATTATATTATTAATAATATGTTAATCAGAATTGGCAGTAATTTTCCCTTCTCTGTCCTGTAGATTTAGACTAAGGGGGTCTTTTAATCATATTCATTATGGGTTTGGCAAAGTTCACAATGGGGGCAGCCGAGTGGCAAAGGATGATGGCCTGATATATTTGAGACCGACCACTCCCTGAAAAAATTGCTAGGATTTTTCGGTTGCCTGTATTTGATTCCAAATATCCAGTGGTAGGCTGACACCTTACTGCCTTGTTCATTTTATTTATTTTATTGTTCTAGGTTATTCTATTTATTCTAACTTGTCATTCTATTTATTTATAGTCATCAATAAAATGTAGGAAGAAATGTATTATAATTACTTTTAACTTTTAATTAGTATTAATTTTAAGATTTCACACACCTGATTTAAAATGTTGAATCTTATTTGGATTTTTGAATATCAGCCTGCAACATATGTTCAAGTATTATTAAAAAATTGAATGAATCTTTAATTAATTCACATTTTTCTTTATATTAGGAAGTAGGTTATTGTCAAGGAATGAGTCAGATTGCAGCTCTCTTGTTGATGTATATGAACGAAGAGGTTAATATATTATTTTAATTTTTTGCATGGAATTTTAATATTAATGCATCTAATTGCATGCAATTTAATAACTTGAGTTTTTTTAACAGAAATTTATGACAATATACAGAAGTTTTCTTGTATAATTATTAATAAATGATTATACAAAATGTGTGTTATACAATTATACAATAAATATAGTAAACATGTATATTGGATAGCTAAAATGATCAATATGCAAATATTCAAACAAAAATAATCTTGACAATGTTAATTCATTAATTTAATATATTAAGTTATAAATAAATTAACATTGTCAAGATTATGTTTGTTTTGAATGATTGAACATTGATCATTTTAGCTATCCAATATACATGTTTACAATAATTTAAAAACATAAAGCTCATTATTACTGTCAAAAATACTTTATTACATAATTACAATGAACTAATATTATATATTGCAAAATTTCTAACATTATTTTTAGAATTAATAGAGGAATGAGATAATTTATATATTTATATTTTTTAAAATTTAAACAAAAGTCTCTGTAGTTTATTGTACACTATATAAATCTAAATTAAAAAATAAATGTTTATTGCAAACATTTGGAGTAGTGCCACTAGTTAAATACAGTTGTCTTGTCCATTCAAAATAAAAAAACTTTATACCATACATAGATAATGAGGCTAAATATATTTATTGAGTTAAATCTCTTTTGAATAACTCAGAATGAATTGGTATTAAACATAGTTTTTCAAATGACTATTTTAAAAGTAATGTGTTATCAATTAAGCAGATGATTTAAACTAATTTTTGATTTGTACCGTCAAAAAAAGATAATTAAGACCAACTTATCTTACATTTATCTTTACTTGTGCTTACATTTGGTATCGTTTTAACTACTATCTGCTTTACTTGCTGTTTTTTTTCTGATTGATATTTAATATCATATTTATTTCATATTACTGCAGTTGTTATTTAATTAATAAGTAATGTACATGTCCTGAATTAGTTCAACATTTATTAAACAAATTTATTATCATTTCTTAATGATTATTTTAAATTCATTTACTCAAAATATATTGCAAAGAATAATAATATCTATTATCATTTTTAAGTTAAAATTTAAATTAGGGAGGATGATGACAATATATTACTTGCAAAGGTTTACTTTTTATTATTATTTTTTTAGAACTATGTTTGTTATTTTGCCATAAATTCTTTTGTTAATTAAAAAATTAACTGTTTTATATTTAAATAATTTTACACGCATTTTATGTTCATATGTATTAAGTTAAATTAATAAAATAACTAACATGCATGCTTATTAAATGTAGAAAGTATTAATTTATGCTAACTCGATATAATTGTCCTTTAGGATGCCTTCTGGGCACTGTCTGTCCTGATGAGTGATACAAAGCATGCCATGCATGGTGAGTTATTTATCAGAAATTTGCTTTTGTGAAAGATTGCTTTTATTATTATTGAAACTGCTTCTAAAAGCAGCATTTTTATTTTATAAATATGTCATTTGTTTTGAATGAGTAAATATTTTCAAACAAATAATGAATATTTACACATTTGAGTAAAAATTTGTCAAGTAAAATGTATATCTTGCATGGAATTTAAATTTTTATACTTAAAAAAATATTCTTAAAAATTTCCAGTCTAATTAATATTGAGTTATCAAAGTTTTCTAATTAATGTGTGTACAGATTTGATACTTAGATTTCTAATTCTGATCAAGTTCACTTGAGTTAATTTTTTAATGTCTCTGAAAATTATTCTATTGCTTAATGTTCTTGTTCTTTACATACGTACTGTACATACGTATATCTATATATGTAAAATTGTAAATGTTTATTTCTTCAAAATCTTAAATCTCCGAAAGTTCTTAACCAATTGCTTTGAAATTTTGACACAGCATTGCATTCGAATACATGTATGTGTTTTTATATTATGTAGATGTCGAAAACCCCTCCCATGGGGGAGAGGGACAGGATTAAGGCTTACCGTGAAGAACTCGGCTTATATTATAATATTTTAGATGCAGTTTTTTGCATTTTTGATTGTGTTTTAATAGAGTATGTCAAGAGAATGTACACTAAGAAAAAATTTTTCAAAATTCCTCCTATGGGGAGTGTTATACATTTATAATAAATACATTTTGAGCCACAGCAATGCGTGGCCGGGCACAGATAGTATATATATCTATATACATATGTACTTACTTACTTACATACTTAATGACTATCCTTAATATCAAAATAAGATAGAAATTACCTTGATAAAATAAGCATTGAGTATAATACAATATGAAAATACAGGGTCTTTGAAAAAGACTGCCATTTTAAATTACTGTAATTATGTTAATTATTATCCAAGAAAGTTGTAATGTGTACTTTGCAATGAGAGATTGCACTAGGTCAGTACTAACTGTGCCTATTTTAGGGAAGACAGGATGGGACAGTTCTGTTACAATTTTTCTATGAGTGAAAGTACTGTACAGTACTTACGCTGTATGAGTTTTTATTAGTTATAATATGTCATTACAAAAATTCCTTAAAAAGATTCTTCTAAGACAATACATACAAAGTGTCTTTATTCCAATCCATTCCTTTCAAATGAACATTTGAGGAATTAACAATTTCATGGCAGAGTCGACCTTTCTTTAGAGGTGGACGAGCAGCCTATAAATATCTCTCTGACAGTGGCACTTCAAATAAAATTTAAAATGTACATTTGGTAAAAATATATGGCCAGGACGAATTAATTATTACAAAAAATTCTTAAAAAGATTTTTTTTATAATGTCATTTTTTCTCAGAACATTTCTGTAAACAAGTGAACCCTCTAGCCTGGGTGATAATTGGGAAAATAGAGGAAAGCTGGAGGGGTGATCTACAGATTTAATAGTCAGTCACATGTATTTTTACTTATTTTTAACAAGGGGGTTGGAAGTTGATAGTGTAGATGGTTAGGTTCAAGATCCAAGCAAGTTTAATAGAGTCTGGAAAAGAGGTTTAAAAAACCAGTAGAGAAATTTTGGTGGGGAGAGTACTACCCCCATCCTTTCACCCTATCTTCCATAAAATAGAAACTGTTAGTATTGACAGAGTGCAATCATTCATCATGCCAACTGTACATTGATGCAGTAAGACTGTGTGTTGCATTTCTGCAACACATGCTATACATTGAAATTTGTGCTGTGTTACTATGGAGTAGCATATCACCCATATAAACATAACGGAAAGAACGGCTTGTGGGTATAGAATTTCACTTGGCCTAGTAAATTTTTTAAAATAAAATATGAAATATAATTGAAATTTGAAGTTTTCAAAGGTTTTCTTCGTACAATAAACATGAATAAGTACAATATCATAAAAATACATAACACAAAAACAAATATTCAAGAGAGAATTTTTATTTTTTTCAGTGAACGTGAACAGTAAAAAAACAATAGTTATATTATTTTAGTGATTATTCTGTTTCTTTTCAATTTGTATTGGTCCATTTATGCAACCTTGATTATGGTAGAAGTTCTGTTGAATTCAAAACCTGATGTTTAGTGTATAAAATGGCATAACAATGTCAGAAAAAAATCATTCAGGCAATGTGTTGCAACTATGCAACATGGATAAAAATTAGGAACAAAATGTTTAACCTTGCAGACAAAATTATATTAAATGGCCATCATATTTGTGCTGTCCATAAGAAAGAGTAAGGCCCAGGGTAATATTTTATGCCTGTCTATTGTGGTGTTTAATGTGTTAAATCATTGGAAAAATGTCCAAGTTTAACATTTGCTCATTACAATTTTTCAACATGTACACCTTGCATCACAAAGAATACAGCCAGTCAATATTCAGCTTCTTCCTATGCTCATTACAGCAAATTCATTGTCACTCCTCCCACCATTCTTTGGCTTCTGTAGATCGCATACATTGTACAGTGACAAGTGTTTCTGACTCTGCAAACCTCAGAACACAAAACACCTTCTCTGTTTCAGAGTTGTTGTTTCTGTTTATGCCACTTCCTAGAAGTAATAGATAATAAGACGTTTAAATGCAGATGGGAGACAAAACTAGGACAGTTACTCTATTAATTGATGTATATTGCATACTTCTCTAATAGTAATTAACATATTATAGTAATTTAAAATGATAGCTTTCTTGTTAGAAGACACTGTATTTAAATTTTTTAAGTTGATTAAAAATTGAAATATCCAAGATAAGTAACCTAATATTTAGAAAAAGTGTAAATGTCTATGTCAAATTTGAAAGAAAACAATCCTCCCAACATACTCCGACTCCAACAACAAACAATTTCTGGTTTATCATATAGGACTAGTCTATGCTATTGGATGACATGAAAAATCCAGCCAGGGATTAGTCAACTTTTTCATCATCATTTTAATCCAAGATGATGAAAAAGTTGGCCAGTTAAAGTCCAAATCCTCAGTGTTTGGAGTTTGTTCTAGGTTGCCAAAGTGAGCACCACTGCCTCCCTGTGGGTGGTACAAAGGGAAGCAGGGGGCACTGGATGCAGGGTACCGAATGGTGACCCTAGGCAAAGGGTGGGGTCACTGACAATCTTTTCCTTTCCTCTGTTAAAACAAGTAAGAACAAACATTACACTTAATGGTTTGATGTTGAGAACAATGCATGATAAGGACACAATGTGAGGTTCATAGAAAAGTTTTTCTAAGAATATTTCCAAGCCTTTCTCACACAAGGGAAAAAGAGTTAGGGAGCATTGAATAACTTTATAGAACCAAGGGGATGGCTTTAAAAGAGTGATTTCCAAACTTACTTGAGGCCCATATGCTCTTTTGACATGCTACATTATTTCGGGTTTTTACTTATTATCCAAAGCTGTTTTTATCATTTGAATTTCAATAATTGAAATATTCTTTGTTTTTGGAGTGTCATATTAAATACCTTTATCGAGTAAAGTTTACAGTCTCATAGGGAAATGCTTTCAAATAAATTGTATCGAGAGAAAAAGAGATAGTCTGTGAACAACTATAGCTTTGTGAAAAAATGCATTCAAAAGTATTACTTGGACAATTTTATTAACCTATTTATTGCCTGCCAACAAACTCACTAGGTACAAAACACAGGAGAGAGAATAAGTTAAATGATAATTTATTTTATGAACTGCAATTTGTTATTGTTAATAATATGCAATAAAGAATTATTTACATTTACATTATGATAACATTTATTTATTGCAAGACAACTAACTTGATAACCCATAACCAGCAGAAAGAACTCGCTCTGCCGAATTAAAGTGAGTTCTTTCTACTGGTTTTGGGTTATCGAGTTAGTTGTCTTTTGACGTTAATGATTAGCTAGTAGACATCTGCGAACGTGCTTATTAAACTTGCTTTCCATTAAAGCTTAACATTATTTGTACACTTCCAAAATCCATTTGCTGCTTCCACCAGGTCCCACCCTACGTCCATTGGCCCTTCAAGAATGCCAATCTATTTTCCAATCACAAATAATCAGAGTCCCTTCTTTGATGGGTCTTCAAACAATAACATACTGCAACTAGTGGCAGATAAATGCAAATGGTATTTGTTACTGAAAAGCATGCATGAACTCATCTATGCACATACACAAATTATTGAAGAAACATACCATTTTAGGCATGAGTTATGCACAGGACAATACATAATACAGAAATACTTTTGCAAAATTATTTTACAAGTGCCCCGACTTTAATTACCAGCATTGGATTTCTCCATACAAAAAGGAAAATTATATCACAAGAAATGCACTCCTGCCAATTCAAACCCACATTAGTTTGGACTCCTCTTCCTACAGAACAGGAAAAAAAATCATAATTACTTCTCAAAAACACTGCAAGGTTGTAAAATTAACACATATCGCAGATTTTTAACACTGCAACAATTTCTAAATACTTGGAAATGTACAAATACATAAATACAATTCTTTACACTTAATCCCGCTAATCTAAAAACCTGTGCAATAATTTGTTTGGATTAGCGAGAGTGCACCGTATACAGTCCCATCACTGTCACCCACACACAAACTACATGAAATGTTTGAACGGAAGCGGACATTTTAATGGTATTAAAATGGGGAACCAAAGGGGAAATGTCTAGTCTGTAACAAGATGCCATCTGAAGAGCTCTCGAAATGGCATTCAACATCATTTTCGCCATTAATCCATATAGATTTATTCAGATTACATTACTTTCTTTGCGTTATATATAACAGAGGGAAAGTACAGCCATGGGTCATAAGTGCCACCACCCAAGATTTTTACATTTTTGGACTCTTTGAAATGTCCAGAAATTGAAAAAAATTTGGGGTTTTTTTCTTGCGTGTGTTTGGGGGCACGCAATTTTAACGTTTTTTTGCCGGATTTCTCTTCCAGGTTTCTTCATTCCGGGATTTCCCAAGCTAAAGAGGTTCCAGCAGCACCACGACAGGATTCTGCAGAAGTTGCTGTCCAAGTTGAAATCTCACCTGGACAAATACGAGATCCACACCAGTCTGTACACTCTGAAGTGGTTTTTCCAGTGTTTCCTGGACAGGGTGCGCAAAGCTTAAAACTTGATTTTTGCGCCGTTAATCTCGAGACGAAAAAATTTTCACGGGTTTAACTTTCAGGTTCCGTTTACGCTGACGCTAAGGCTGTGGGACATTTACATCTTCGAAGGGGAATTGGTGCTGACTGCCATGTCTTACACTCTACTGAAGTTACACAGAAGTAAGTAGGGGAGAGCGCGCCAGGGGAGGACGAGGAGGAGGTAATTAGAGCCTGGTTCTTTGCAGAAACCCTGCTGAAGATGGGGATGGAGGAGCTGATCGAGTTTCTGCAGATCCATCTGGAGAGAGACTTTGGGTACCACGACGACGCTGCCATCGACGCCCTGCAGGTGTCGATGGAGGAGCTGAAGCGCTACAAGTTGGATCATCCGGGAAAGGCCACTCAGGAAGAGCTACCCAGAAAACCTTTCGGCCTGATCATCCGACCCCCCTCCGAGTCCAAGTCCGAGAGCCACGGCGGAGAGACGGTATCCATTTCTCTTAATAACGGCAGCGCGCCGGTGACATCGCGTGCTAAACGCTCTTCTATTGGCCAGGTGGCGGACAACGGAAGCGCCTCGCCGGTGTGGAAGTGGCGCGACGGATTCGCCGCTTCCAAATCCGGAAGCCACAGGAAGGACAACGCGGAGAACGACGACGGCAGCTCCATCATCGACCCACTCAGCTCCCAAAACTCCCTGGCGGAGACGTCGCAGACCTCGGCCGCCGACCTGTCCGTCGTTTCGGGTTTCTCCAGCCCGGGCACCACGCCGGGCCGGCGGGGCGACGACGATGGGCGCGACCGAACCCCCCGCCTGCGGCGCGCCCTCTCATTGTACGACAATGTGGACTATAACGAGAGCCTACTGGCGGCCGACAAGCAGTCGCGCGCTCGCTCGCCCGACACCGTCAGAATATTCGTGCCATACGAGAAATCGTCCACTCCGCCCAACGGCGACGTCACGCCCACCAACCAGGACCCCAACAAGATCACCATCCGCGTCAACCTGTCCTCGGAACAGTCTTCCGCCTCCAATTACCTCTTGTGATAATAAAAAGAAACCACGTCCGCGGGCTACATTCCAGGAAGGGGCCCCGTCGCCCCCTCCCCCACACTGTTAACGATAACTCTTGTAATATATACATATATATTTTTCGTCCAAAATCCGCACAAGAGATTCCAAAAGTCCATGGCTATTTATCTAGAAGTTGCCCCATCGCAATAATTTGTACCGCATCTCTTTTTGTACACGATCGGGTCACGTGCGTGCGTACATAAATACATATTTTCTAAACTAGTTACGTACTTCGATCGGCGTCGTACTTCTTTTTTCGTTTTTGTACAAATGGCCCTGTACATAGATTCGCGGCGCGGAGGGACGTGCGTGCGTGGCATTGCGTGCGTGCGTGACGTCGACCAAAGGTAATAACGAGAACTAATTTATTTTTAATCCGACTTTTTTCTACGCCGCGTTTTTAAATCGGTCCGTCGATGGTCGGAAAGAGGAGATATTTTTTTTTATTTTATTTTTACTAAAGAGGAAGCGAAAAGGCCCGCGCGCCAACTCCACTAACGGTCCGAGAAGCGTCTAATTGGGTCGGTGGCATTGTGTCTCGTCTCGGTTTCATCTGTGATAACACATCGTAATCTTTCGTCCCACTGCTAGCTCTGTGTAGCAGTCTTTGTCGTACTTTAATAAAGATTATTCGTATTTATAAACTTCCGTCCTCGTGCCATTTCTTCGGGTGCGCCGACGACGACGGCCCGCCCCTGCATTCGGAAACTGTCGGTTTTGACGTCGTTACGACCGAGTGCGCTCTCGGGGATTGACCGGAAGGAGACGTTACGCTCGATTATAAAGGCAATTCGAGCCGTAACGCGGTAACAATCCGTAAACACCGAAGAAACGCCAGCCACACTTCGAGAACGGTAACGGGATCGACCGACGCGCTTCCTAGCGAATATTCCGTGAACTAATGATTCTCGAGTACAAGTGCCGTTCAATCCTGTTTCCGAAACTCGTTAAATCAGGGTGGTTAATTAATTGCCGACATAATAAACGTAACGGCATAAATTTACCATTTAGACGAGTGACGCGATGGTGAGTACGAAAACCGTGCTCGCGTGTTGCATTTCGACCACGGATACGAGTAACGGAAACGTTAATCAAGTGACAGCTGTTACCGAGTCAACTGCACGGGTCGTCCGTCCGTCGAGTGTGTCAACAACGTAACACGTTATTGGCTCGCTCGACTTCCCGTCACCTAGATGCACTTCGAGTATGCAAAATATTTTAATTTAGTAACGCATTCAACTGTAAAGAATACGTCGAGGGTAACGACGGGGAGTGACGAAATTCCTTTGATATCTGCGGTTTCGGGGATGGCGATTTATCTCTTCCGGTTTTATCTTAAAACGTTTCTAACGTCACTCCCCGGGGCACGGAGGGAACTCCGAAGAAATGTCGGGGGCCTCACCAAAGAATGGCGTAATTCGTTAAATACTTGAACCGTCGCCTAAATACGATCACCTCCGTATTGTAACGTAACGCTACGGCTTAACCAATAAAATTTTCCATCTGTGATTTGTAGATGTCACCTTAGCGTTACACTTACACGCCACACTAAAAAGCGTGTTCCCGTTTGGAGTACAGTACATACCAGAATTTGTATAGAGAACCTTTCCTTTCATTAAATACACAAGATTGACTTCGGTATACGCGTGTTAATCCTACTTCTGTTGCTTACCTATGCCCCAAAAAGAACGTCGAGGACAGCACAGTACAGTATAATTAATACCATGCGATAGATTGTGATGTGTCTGGAGGGCGATCGATGTCGACACAAGGTTAACTGTATATTAACAATCGTCGTGTTTGTTACTGTTTACCGTCCTTTCTAATCACTCGTAAATTGTTTACAAGCGATTTCTCGCGGCGTCGGGGTTTGTTTCGATTATCCGGTGGCAAGGGGGTGAAGTACGCATTAATAGAATTAAATTATAAAAAGACAATCAAACGATCGATATAAACAAGCAATTCTTTTATATCTCATTAAGGGAAAGCAATTAATTAAAATTGCCAAACAAAAAAAGGAGAGAGATTTTTATTTAAATTAAATAGATTTAAAAAGCCTTAACACGCGAGAATACCCTTTGTCGTTAAAAACCTGGTTTGGTCGATTCGGTTTCGATTTTAATTCTTTTAAATCTATTTTTAAGAATTATTTTTAGTACTTTCGTGTTAACTCGAACGCCATTTCTACTTTCGGGGTATAGTTTAATAGTGTTATTTCCTGCGGGACCGGATTGGCGCGTAAAATAAACTACCTGCAGCTTGGGGACCTGGCATCCTTGCAAGTGTCGTAACGGCCCCTTCTCTTCCATCAAATAACGTTAGGCGTCTCTGTGCTCGTATTGGAATCCTGAGCTTCACCCTCGCCACAAATAAGATACCCCATTGTTACCATACCCCTTATAATTGTATCGGACACCCCTAAAACGTTCCTTTATGACCGAGTGCTGTATTATATTACACCACAGAACGAGCGGATTTAGGATGTGCCTCAGGGCGCGGCTGCACCCCTTCTGGAGGGTTTAAGACACCTAACGTCATCTCAATCCCGACATGCAATTCGAGAAACGTCGAGGTTGGAATTGCTCTTCTATAGACGGTGACTGCGATTTTATCGCTATACGAGGGTTTCTAACAGTAAACCTTGCTGTTTGATGCCTTTCATTAAATGGACACAACACCGAATCGTTACTACTCGTGTCGAAGATTTCTGAAATTCTTCGTTGGTCGTCGTCATAAATGCACAGAAATCGAATTTTTTAATATTTTACGAAAACGAGACTACATTTAGTCGCGGTTGAGTCTTGTCGGTTTCGGCGTACACGAGAATGATTCCTCTCTCTTTGCGATAGTTGCGAGAAGTCGCGATATGCTTTGATAGCGACTGCGATAAAATGACGGCGATTATCGCAAATTGCGACGCGCAAAACTACCTTAAAATAACCCCTTTCTCTTCTCGTTAACGGGGAATTCGTTTTAAAAACGCGCAATTTATGCAAAATTTTAATCAAAAAATTTAATAACTTCCCTTCTTAACGTTTTTTGTGGCGTAATTTCCCGACAACGTATCGAAATTCGGAAATCTACTCTCCCTTACGAAATTATTAAAGAGAACAGTTGGCGATTCTCTCACGTTCCTCCCTCCCGAAGAAGGGTCGTTTCAGTGAAAACGAACGAAGAGAACGGATTAACGAGAACCAGGTGAAACGCGATCAATTTTGCACCCCCACGTGCCTCTAAAACAGAAAAACACTGCCCGTTTCTACATACAAGCGAACGGGGGCAAAGCGCGTGGCACGCCGCCTCTTTCACCAAACCCGCTCTTCCGAGCGCGTGACAAATAGGAAGTAGAATGGGTAAAAGTCCGGAACTTCCGGTACGTCGGCGGGGAGTTTGTCAAAAACCCTCGCACCTTCTTCTAACGAGGGGGCATTTAAAAGGTAGGTTCGTCCAATGGGAGCGAGAGTTGTCTGTCTACCAAGGTGTTTAATTAACTTTGGAAGGCGGCGATTGGTCGAAGGGCGGAAGAGACGAGAATGCGTCGCCGGGCGCGAAACGGGGGGTGGACGTCGCCGCCTACGTCAACGGAGATTCGGAGGAATCGATTAGGGAAAACGATTGGAGGATTCTCCCCTCTCGTCTCCCCGTTCCAGCTTCAACCGGTTTTTGGGGAAGCCTGCCATTGGTCGAGGACGACATCCGTAAGGTGTGACGTCAGACGCTGCAGTAGACGGAGGTCGAGAAAGTGCGGCTGTGTCTAGCTCGGGGGCCCTTCACCAGCCAAACGGCGTCCGACCAGCACTTTTGCAAGAAAAGCCAAAGGTAAAAAGGCATCCCGCATCCGTTTCTGTCGCGATCGAGACGGCTCCTTCCCGCTCTAAACTCGTCCCCCGTTGTAACGGGCGCCGGTCACGTGGTCGGCCCGCCAAATCCGCGGCCCGTCCGTCCCCCCGGTCCGACGCCCGCCGAGGTCGGGAGCCACCTTTATTTTATTTTAATTTTCATCCTTTATTCCGGAAAAGATTCCGACCGATGCGTGGTATTTGGCGCGTAATCGATAATCGAAGAAGTTAATAATCGATTCTTTTCAGTAGGAACCATGAATGGCGTTTTGGCGTTTGTATTGATCGGCATCGTGGCCGCGGGAGCCTATCAACTGGGCGAGTCCGAAGACGAAGTGGTCTATCGAGTGACAAGAGGAGCCAGAGGAGGAAAGAACAGAGGTGCCTCTCCCTCCCCTTCTCACGGATACTCCTCCGTGCCCTCCCCACCCCGCGGTGCATCTTTTTTTTTACCGGCGCGTCACTTCTTTTCGCTGTCTCGCGCGCGCAAACACGAACGCGACCCCCAAACCCCGCGTGGCCGGAGGAGGGTTCGTCCGAACGGGATTTAGCCATTGACGCGTCCTGAAGGCCTTCGTCCCAATCGAATGAGTTTCCCTTCCTGCAGGCGAGTGCAGGTATAGAAAAGGACCCTGGGAAGAGTGCAATCCCACCACCAACATGCAAGAACGCACTCTTTCGCTGAAGAAGGGAGAAGCCACCTGCGAGAAGTCCAAAGTCATCCAGAGAAAGTGCAAAAAAAGTAAGTGCGCCCTTCTCCGGGAGTGCCGGAGGAGGGCGATCACGACCCTTCCCTTTTACTTTTTCAGTCTGCAGATACGAGAACGGAGAGTGGAGCGAGTGCGACCCCCTGGCCAAGACCCGGAGTCGAGTGGACGCGCTGAAAGAGGGTAGCGATTCCAGTTGCGTGGCGGAGAGGACGGTCACCAAGAAGTGCAAGAAAGGTGAGCGAGCCCTTCCGCCATTGCCTCCGCGGGCCTACCATCCGTCTGACCTCCGACCTCTTTGCAGCTTGTCGCTACGAGCGCCGCGCCGAGTGGAGCCCCTGCGACCAAGCGACGGGACAAAAGACCAAAGTGGTGCGCCTGCTGGGTGGCCAACCGGCCGAGTGCGAACCCACGAAGACCGTCACCAAGCAGTGTCAAGGTCGAAAGGGACAGTCAAGTAGGTGGCCTCCCCTCCGATCCTCGTTCAGGTGAGTGGGACGACGACGTAACCATCTCTTTTGTCGTTTCAGACGACGACTACGACGACGAAGAGTGAGAGGCGCGACGGACCACCCCCTCCGCCGTTTCCAGTTTTTACTTCTGATTGTGCGTCTTCCATGTTTTCCCGTCTTGGACACCAAAAAATAAATAAAAAATCGGCCGTTAACGAGTAAAACGAAGAAGTCGTTCGTCTCGTCGTCTGTCCGTAGAATAACCGTCGAAGCGGAAAGGATCCACAAATCGAGAATCGTCACCTCGGTAGCTAGTCTGATAGGAGAAATAGGACAACTGTCGTAACGCATGTTCGTCACGTGACTCATATTTGTACATTTTCAGCCATTCAGTTCTGTTTTGTAACTTTTATATTATTTTTATCTTAAGTAAAATCGATAATATAACGCCTTATGTCCGTCTCTCTTCTCCTTTTCCTCCACCCCGACTTCGACTCTTCCTCCTTCCTGGTCGATGAGGCGACCGAGCGAATAACTTCCGCCCGAGCCGAGAAAGTTCGAAATTGGAAACGGATTTATCGCGTAGATTAGCTTCGTCGCGCGTAACGGAGCGCGAAGATCGCCAGAACCCCTCCTCCTCCTCCCGTGGAACACGTGAAAGCCGATCGATCGGCTTTCGAGACGCCTTTTGATGGGATCGAATGACGAGAAGCCATTATTCTCCGAGGAAATGCTGACGTCACGAAATTTCACGCTCTCGGCAAATACTGGAAACGCCTCTCGAAATTCTTGGGTTACGACGTGAATTCGCGGATCGTATTTTCTCTTATGGACAGTGCGAATACTTAACGTTTATTCAATGCGTTAAAACGGGGTCCGAGGATTAAAAACATCAGAAAACTAAAAGGGATTTCGACCATTTTACCGATACGAGAGTGCAAAATATAGTCGAATTCTGCAGAATTTTGGAGTTTCGTCCACTTGGAGATATCTGGCATAAAGGGATTCGAACTCAGACTCTTCGTACAGAAAAGTACAGTAACCTAGTGACGATGTTAAAGCTTGTCCGCGAGAGAATAATAATATGCCCGCACCCGCAAGCTTTTGATCTAATTTTGCCACTCTGTACGGTAACTAACGAGTGGTGGAACCCATAACTCCTTCCATAAGATTTTTAAGAAAACCACTTTCCATGTCCCCTGGATGTTACCTAGTGTCATCTTGTAACTGGACATTGTATTTCGGAGTAATTCGAGTGACCACGACCAGACAGTATGTCCATTGGGTCCAAAAAGTCATTCCGTCATGTCTTGGGCTCTCTTCGGATCAGTGAGGTTCCCAGATAAACAAATATTCAATTTTTCTGGTGCAAATCACCATTACGCAATGGTAGAACAGACATTTCACTACATTGTCTTGAGAAATGGGTGCTCGAACCTCCCTGTCACTAAAACTTTAAAAAGGGATGTGTCATATATGTTTCTTAATTATTTTTTGCATCGTCTCCATGTGGCACGTTGCTCCTTGGTAAATGTGGCATTCACAACGTACAAAACTTTCAAAATTCAAATAAATCAGGAATGTATTAACTACCTCAAATGATTTCTGATGGCAGTATCTAGGTCAGGGATAGCCAACAGTTTTTGCCCCCTGGTTGGATTGGAAAGAAAACTATTTCTGCGGGCCAAACCAGAGGTTGCCCTAGGAAGATTTTCAGGTGGCGCGAGATCTCATCGTGGTATCACTCTGTAGAGACTGAATTGTAGATAGAGATTACAGATACATTTCTCACATTATCATGCTTTATCAACACTCTAAGCTGTACTTAAGAGATTTGTAATGGAGGGTTAACTCTAAATATACAGTGAGTTGTTGACTTTTTTTTTTTTTAGGCGTCAGAATTTTTCATCGAGCTATTTTGAAAGATTGATCGCGGGCCACATAAATTCATTAGATGGGCCGAATCTGGCTCACAGGCCATATGTTGGCCATGCCTGATCTAGGTGATGGTAATTAAAGTCTCTGAATAGCATTGAATAGGGGTAGGTATGAGAAAAAATTGAAAAAAAAATGAAAATTTGCATTTGAAAGCACGGTTCATACCCTATTCTTCCATGTAGTTTCTGGGATGCAAACATTTCTCTCGTCCTAGCACAAACGTTTGGATAACACTCTTAGAATGCATTCTCTTGCATATGCTGCAATAATCATTTGCACTCACCTAAAGTTACACATTGCTATGAATTCACACCAGTCTATATCCTTGGGTCATTCTTCTTCAAAGAAGCTAGTTCTATGACATGCTCCGATGGCCCAAACATATCAAGAGGAGCTCAACATTTTCATACAAGATGGAGTGTCTCAGCATATCTAACGCTGCATATGGCACTTTCTGCAACATTTCACCAACAACAGTGCAATGAGTTGTGCATTTCTCGTTGGCCACCTGCCTCGTTCTCCAGATCTTAATCAGAGCAATTTTTAGTCACAAGGACACACTAAATTGGCAGTCTAAAAAGACAATATCACACTGCACGTGAGAAGCATTACAGCCATCAAACATGCTATTCCATCACCTTCAGAACCTCAACACCAAGCAGTATTTTGGAAAGACTGAATTTGCATGCTAGAGATTTAACAATACTTATTCATATTAAAAATATCATTTTGTGTCATCTTGTGCACAATAACAATGTTACCATTTTTCCACAATAGAATGGTTCAAAAGTGCAACATTAATGTGTTGCATTTATCTTGATAATGTCATTGTCAAGATAATGTCAATATGTTATTGGGGTCAATATGAGGAAGAAGAGAGATTTCAAGCCAGAATCTGCATAATAAAATTAAAGTAAGTGTGTCATTTTTGGAATGCATTCAACAGAATTTCATCGAAATTTTACACATTTTAACCTTACAGTTATACATTTATGTATGTTACAGCTAACATTCTACATCTTGGTTCGGGATTATAAATCATCAGTGCGGAAGATCAACTGGGGAAATTGGATCTGGTTTTGTAGCAGAGTGACTCGAGATTGGCTCCCTTCCAATTTTATTATGACACAACCTCATTAAATCTTATCGACATTAAGATTGATAAGGTGGTGCTGTAAGAATAGTCAAATAACAATTTGGTTTTAGATAATAGAGACGGATTTCTACTGCATGATAGCATTTAGTATAAAATAAAGGCATCCCTCGTATAACACAGTATTCCTATAACAACGTTCAAGAACATCCCTGGACAAAATGTCACAATTGTTAAGTACAACCCCATCAATCAATATTTTTTTACTGAAACAAGCGCAAGTATGCTTGTCATCTCATATTAGTTTTACTATTAAACTATTACCACTAGTTTTAGACTATTAAAATTTTCAATGTTTTTTTATGCCTTTTGCCAGGTATTCCTTAATGAAAACCAACTGTACAATTTTTCTTCTTCCTTGTCCTAGCTTTCCTATAGTTTTGTATAGCAAGGATTCGCATAGCATGGTACTTTTTCAGAACCTAAGTACCATCATTACTTATTTTAAGTTACATATCAGTTAAAACTTTGTTCAAAGCATAACCATTACAATAAAATGATGTAGTGACATTGTAATATTTTCAAATGGTTAGCCAGTTATGACAAGGAATAGAGAACAACACGTCGACCAAAACTACTTGTGATAATTACGAAGATGCAAACTGATTATGCATGAGTAAATATAAAATAATGGCAATATTGTTGTTTTGAAAGAGTGGAATGCTTGAAACACAATCTGGTAGCATAATCTATTTCTAGTGTAGGATATCATTTGCACTGATATGGAATGAGGATGAAGGCAAAACATTCTAACATATAAAGTTAGAACAATGTTTTTATATCAAAATTTAGGATGGATTTGGCTGCAATGCAAAAGATTGTTGCTAAGGTGTAAGAGGTTTGATAATGACACACTATACTGCACAGAATGAATGATAGGGTAGCCTATTATGGTTGAGAAAATACAAAGGATGTCATTCCAGACATCTCAATGTCCAGAAAAGTAAAAGATGCAATTTGTGCAAGTTCTTAATCCCTGATGATGGGCAATGGACAATGTGTGAATGAATTGGAATGTGAAGGTGGAATCAATGATTTTGCCATGCATCACATTTTGTACAATGTTCTTGGTATGCAAAAACTTGCAGCAAGGTGGATCCTGCAACAGCTTAACAAAATGAAAATTGGCACGGTTTGCCATAGCAAGTCTCCATTAGACTGGTATCAAAACGAGGACACTAGCTTACAAGCCAAAACCAAATTCCAATCAAGCAAATGATGGCATCTGGGAGCTCCACAACTGAGAAAAATTGTGGCAGAAATCCGGCAGAGTGAAAGTGATGCTAATTGTTATCTATACAACATGGATGGTTTAATTCTACATTTCCTCTCACAGCTCCTCAGGAAGAAGTACAGTAGAACCTCGATTATCCGGATTCTTCAAAATAAACAAAAATTTTACGAATTTGCTGATTTGCACTTGGCGAATTACGACACTGTTTAGGTATGTAATGGAATGCATAACATTTTTTGTTTCAACAACGTCTCACCCAGCACAGTGGTCGTAAACTCTTAAATATATTTTGCGTTGTAATAAAAATATAACTTGACATACGTATTTATAAATAATTTATACTCAAATTACATCATTTCTATAACCAAGGGCGGTGTAAGGCATGGGCGACGTAGGCCACCACCTATGTCTCGCGGTCCGAAGGGCCTCGCGCCTCAAAGGTTTATGCATTACTTAGAAGCCGTGAACGCGACGAAAAAATTTTACTTGTCATAAAACGATAAATAGTTTGTCAAAGTTTTATTCATAAAAATGCAGTTTCAACTGCTTTTTATTTTATGAAATCCGTTTTCTTGAGCCGCCAGAGGGCCTTTTAAACAATAGCTAATCTGTTAGCGCTGGTCAGTAGTAGTCCAAATTTAATAAAACATTTGTTTCTTGAAAATTTGATCACGATTTAAATACAGTATTTATTTTTAATATTACCGATATGTCATTGAAAAGAAAACGTGTTGTATTATCATTAAAAGACAAATTAAAGTATTTGTTTCGATTATCTGGATTTTTCCTTATCCGGACTACCTTCATCCCCAATTAGTCCGGATAATCGAGGTTCTACTGTACTACCAAGGGTTTGTGTATAAACCTGTCTACTTGTTTATTAATAAGACTTATTATACTGGTGTAGTTTCTGATTAGTAAAGAGAGAGATCTTAATCAAAAGTCAAAACAAAATATCTTTATTTTCACCTGGACGTGGAGGTAAAAAACTACCAAGGATTTCTTGAGAATCCAGCATTGAGCAGAAAATGGCCATGTTTCATCAGATGTAATCTACTGCTTCACAGCACTGTTCAATGTCACTTAGCCTGACCAGCAAAAAAGGTTTTTGGCAAAGTGACATTGGAGAGTCCACCCATCTCTCCAGATAAGAGTCCTCATGACTCCTTGATTTAGGAAAGTTTCCTAATCAATCCTAATTCCACAACACTGGGCAGTCCATCATAGCCATAAGTAGAAAAGGAACAGCCACTTCCCACAGATTTTAAATGAAGTCATTACATTGATGAACAGGAATATTAATTTTATTCTAAATAAAGCTTTAAGCTTGTATTATAAATGTTGCCACTAATTCTTATTTTTAAAGTTTTATTACTTGATCATATATATAATTATGGATAGAGCTTTACATATTCATTTTCCAACAACACAAATAAGCTCCTTCCAACAAATTAGAAAAGCGTATTTTGCTGCAAAAATTAGAATGTAATTGAAATATGTGACATTCCAAAAATCCATGGCAGTCTAGATCCAGAGTAACAAATGGATAGAATATTAAAAGTCTTTTCTGGATTCTTTTGTAAAATTCCATCATTTTAGACATTTCATCTTTGCAAACAGATACTCTGAATTTCAAACAAGATGGATATTGGTCTAACCATCCACTCTAATTTCTTTCTTGGCAAGAGAAAGAAATTTAAGTCACTCTTTCCAAACTCTTTTTAACTGTTATGGATGACTCAGGCACTTTATCTCTATCAGCATGTGCAGAAGAATAATACGATGTGGAATGTGACATTGTTTTCAATCCTCTTAAAATGACTACTTTAAATGTGATAAGAATTTCAATTAATACAAAATTCATTTTGTGGCAAAGATGCTTCATAATTCTGACATAAATAAGTTTTATTTAATTCAATACTTATAATTATTAAAATCAATTATTAACTAACTTATAACAAACAAATTTTACTTAAATCTTAATAGAACTAAGGAACTTTCATTACATAAATAGGAAATAAATGGTCCGTAGAATGGATTAAGAGATGCGTCCCTGGATTTTAAATGCCAATAAATAAGAATAACTGATACAAATATCACTTACACCATTACAAAAATTATGCTTTTTAATATTTATAACTATTTTTATAAATAAAATTAAAGGAATAAAGTATGACTCACATTTTCCCCATTATCTATAAGGCAAGATCCTGTTTATAACAAATTAATTTCATAAAATTGTTTTAATTGTAATTTTCTGCATTATTTTAAAAAATTAATGTAAAAGATATCTGTATTTATACACTGTATCTTTTAGTATAAATATTATATACGTCATTATATACTAAACCAAAGTCTGACCTCATAAATACATGAAAGTATTAAATTTTCTTAAACTATATGAAGACACGTGGAACTATGATGCCATGGCATTTGTGATCTGCTCCAATTGCACTTGTTGCAAATGAACCCGCCAATTGGGGATGTGAATGTGAGCATGTCGACATGGGCAAGGGATGAAAAATACACGATCCACACTACCCATGGAAAAGAATCAGATTCAAAGCCAGATCTCTCATAGCAGTTTGTAATTATCTTATCACACAATTGTCCATATTTCATATAATGATAAAATCACTTTACAAGTGTTAGGTAAATGTTTCATTTTTGAAAATATAACAATAATTTTAAAATAATTATTTCGTTTGTATTTTTGCAGATATTAAAAATATATTTAAGAATGCAAAAATACTTTAAACTACAAAATATATTATTATATACTTAGAATAAATTAAACCTTTAAAAATACCACCCTTTTTACAAATAGATTCAAATCAAGGACTTTTCTTTTATACAATAATTGAAAATATAGCTTTCAGCTAATGAATTCTTCAAGAAGTCTTCTTTGTGTGAAAATCATTTACGGTTATGTAAGGGAGGCACTTCATGTGAAAAACCGGACATTCAACAATGCTTCTTTCACCTGCCAGCATAAAAAATGCCCATTAAAAAATCTTTAAAAATGAAATACAGCACGTCAAGTATTTTCTTACCTGTCACCAGATTCCTCATTTTGAAATGGCCTCTCATATTGCCATAAGTGGTGTTGAAACTTGTACAGCTGATCCAAGAAAACGAGGCTCCGGGAAACATTACTGGATATTCACCTAATAAATAAAATAATTTGTTGAAATACTAACTTGTATTAAATATGCAATAAACAGAATAAAAGAGAAAATTTAAACAAATCAACTTTAGACGTCTCTGATAACAAATAAATTGAAAGCAGTGCCATAACTAGGTAGGTGCAACAGGTGAAGTGGCACAGATCTGGAACAAAAGGGAATCCCAAAATGGGGTATTTAAAAATAATAACTGGCTATTCAAAAGCAGAGAATGTGAGGTGGAGATAGTTAAACACAAAAGAAGGATCCTCATACTTGAATTGCATGATTTTTTAAATCTCTATAGACTTACTCTAGGTCTATAGAGATTTAAAATGGTCCCCAAAATGGTCAATAAGGCATTTTTGGGGGTCAATTGAATGGTTCGTTAGAAATTATTAGTGCAACAGAATGTGTATATGACAATTCAGAATGTTGTAAATTTGTATTATACACAGTTCATAGATCTTTTCTATGAAAACAGTGTATGGATTATACTGGCTTACTGTATTTACTTATTTATTATTATTAACTACAGTAATACCCCGAACTTACACGATAGGTGGGACCGAGCAATAACCACGTAAGTCAGGGTATAATTTCACAATTTGTGTAAAATCCAAGTCAGATGTATGTAAGCTAATAAATGTTCTCGTTAATCTTATCTCATCTTTTGATTCGTTTACGATTACAAAAAATCACCACATAGAGTCTCTCAAGTCTCCGTAGATATAACAAACACAGAAATAAATAACACAAAATAAATTGTAGCTATGTGTCGATTCCGCGTGACACGTCCGAACATGTAAGCTGAACAATACTGTGGGGGGAGTGAGTAATCAAGAGTTGCGTGGCACTCAAACAAAACACGAATCAACAAGATTTGAATATCGCATAAGTCGGGATAGCATAAGTCAAGGTATTATGTATATTAAAAAAAAAGTGGGGTCAATGAAGGATCAAAGAATACTTAAAGGGGTCAACAGTCAAAAATGTTTGGAAACCCCAGTCTAGAGACTGAAGCCTGGACTCCACATTACTTGAAAACAGAAACTCCAAAACAGAGCTGAAACATACAGAGTTTTTCTTTCAGTTATGTTTATGTTTTAACTTGACTGAAATGAACATTATGTGCAAATGCACCAACCATTGATCAGTTCTGTAATTCCTCTATACTTTCCATTTCTACTCTGCTTTCTTTCCTTTTTAAAACATTTTATAACTAAATGATTCCACTTCAGGATCTTCATGCAGTATATCAAACTTTCCTATCATTTATTCCAAATTTCATACTCAGTGTTTTACTGTAAATCCTTAAAACTCTTTAAATTTTTTCTCGTATAGATATCTGTGTATTTTCTAACTTCTTCAATAAATAGTTCTAAATCGATTCTCGTTCTCTTCACTATACTCTACACCATTGGGACAATCAAATTACACATGACAATTGCACCTGTTGCACCTGAGTATGTGTTACAAATATATATGTTTTTATTGATTGCGGTATGACAGAAAAGCATAACAAAAATGGAAAAGTTAAATGATTTTTAACTCTGCCTTTCAGCTTTGTTTCTGTCAAACTAAACATTCCAAAAGTGAAAATTTTGTCAGTTTTATGATTCCATTGCAGTGAATATTCAGCTGGTATAGAATCCAGACTTAATATAGAAAACTACTTGGTGTAGCCTAAATTTGTCACTTTAGCAATAATGGATAGAATGCAGTTTTATGATAACATTATGTCATCATCATCAAATAAATGCACTTTTAAACACACCAATACTAAAAGGATAAAAAGTACTTTTATTTATTTATTTATTTTAGATAAAATCTTTTTTGAGACTAACTGTCTCATCAGATCTCAAAACATTCCAGTTCAAACAATATATTCCACAGCAGTTCCTGGCATAACTCAAAAATTCAAAAAGTTTGTTCCATTGAGCAACATAAAATGAATCATATTTCTCAGATAACTTGAAGATAACATTATGATAATGATTAAAATAAAAAAATGATGTAAAATAAATAAAAATAAAACTCCAAAAATAGCTAATTAAAATATAAAAATTAAAATACTTCATAACAGACACACAAAATTATAATACAGAGCTTAAATATATAACTTTCAATATCATTATAACTTGAGTTTCCTTGTGTCTCTGTATGTTAGATGGAAACTAACATAGAATTATCAAGAAGCTAGACGTGCTTCTTGATAACAAGCACTGAGTTCAGCATTAATACGAATTTTTCTTATATCACAAGTACTTTCGACGAGTATTATATCGTCGTCCTCAGGTGAAAAAGAACAGATTTGAAAAATATAACTTGCAGAGTGTTCCAAGTGGAAAACGGAAAATTTTTCTTGTCAATTTTTAAATTATAACGTTCGGTAATTCTGTTGGTCACGTGCAACAAGCTTTTGCGGGCATTCAAAATATTTTAAATCTACTCGACTAGCAGCGCATGCATCGAGGAGCAATCGTACTAATTGTGCGACTCTTGGTGCATTTTGTTGTTTAAACGCTGGTATAAAGTAACCCATATTTTGGGCAAGTCGAGGGTGGGGACGTTACATGTGTCTGTGGTCATTGTGAGGAGCGCTTCCCAAATAAATATAATTCTTCTGTTATTACAGTGCTTGAGCAATGCTGTTTTTGACCATAACGGGTTATAGCCCTGCTGTAGAACTTTTCTGGCAAGTTCTGTGGTCTGTCTCCCTTTGTTTATATCCTCCTGATGTTCTGCGATACGGCAAGCAAGCATTCTTGTTGTTGCCCCTATATACTTCTCAATTATCCCTGTTATTGGATTTTAAGTTACACTGTGTATATTCCCAGTGGTGATATTCGAAATATTCAACAAAGGGTTCGCTAACAGAAAAGTTTTCCTTAAAGCCCCAAGCCCGAGATATCTCGGGCAAGTTACATAGCGTTACATAAAACTCGGGCGTTTGAACCCTCTAAATTTTTTTTTAATTTTTGGAATGTATTTTAAGTCTCCAAATTTTTTTCCCGCGCGAAAGAATTTTATCGCGATTTTAATTTATCTTTAATGACGCACGATTCACGCTTAATTGCTTTTTAATTGTTTTTTAATGAGAGTTTGATATCAAATTTTATTCATCGTTCTAAAGTTGTAGTGCACAAATTTTTCTTCGGTAAAGTTATTTAAAGCTAGTTTCTAATGTCAAAAACGACCTCCGATAGTTTTAAAATTTTTTTAATTAATATATTTTATTATATAGTCTATAAGTTTAATTAAGTCGGGGGGGGGAAAATCGCAATAAAAATTTTAATTTTTTAAAAATATACGGCCAGCTAGTATTCACCCTACTATAAACCCATCGCCTCCCGAGACTTCTGAGAGAATGTCCCGGGAAATCCAACTCCAGCTGTGTTCAAGGTCATCCAGCTGTGTAAACAATGACTCATCAGCGTCAGATTTCGCAGAAAGGCGAAACAATGGAAAATAAAATCTGAAGCTTTCTCTTCAAAATTAACGCATTTCTTTCGTTTTTTTCAGTTTTAAGTATATTTTTTATGTTTAATTACATTAATATCAAAAATTGCTAGAGTCCCGAGGGGTTAACTGCTTTCCCTGTGACTTTTTCTCAAGAAAAAACTTTTCTAAATCATTTATTTTATCATTAGGTATTATTATAATAATAGACAGATGTCATCGTTTCTCGAAATACAATATCTTTTTTATTTCGCTGTCGATAGCCCGACACGTGTTCCGCAGCCATCTTGTATTTTCTCGCGCGCGTGGGATTGTGGGATCTCTCGTATGACTGGACCTAGTTTCAAGAACTCTCTTGAGTCGATCGCGATTAAATCTCGTTTCAGTCGAGATTGAAACGGTCGATGGAGGTTGCACCATGGCGAACGGGGTATAAGGCTCTAGTTTAGTAGTGTTACAGAGTATAATACGTATTTTTAAATATATTTTTTAAAAGAAACAAAACCACTGAGAAATGTTACGTGTGTTTAACAACGGGTTCGGAAAACTTTGAAAATTTTAACAACGGGTTTGGCCGAACCTGTGCGAACCCGCTGAATATCACCACTGTATATTCCCGATTTTTCTAAAATTTCAACTTTATCCCAATCATTGCATATGCTACTGCGTAGGCTGGGTAGGGGGGGTTAAAGGAAGGGTAAAGCTGTATCGCCGGAAAATACGGCTAATAAGAATGGACGGTACGGCAACGCTGATTGTACTCTAGACATTTATTTTTTGCTGTATAGTGTGGTAAACGGGAAAAGGGAATCTTTTACCCTACGTAGTACATGCGTAAATTTGGCACCTGTGAATCCAGTGTGATGTATTGCCATTCTTATGCTTTCCAATTCAACTTTTATTAGAACTTGCAATGAGGGAAGTAGCATTGCTCTTTTGATAAGAGCCGCTATGGCGGCATTGACATACCATGATGCTTGAAATGCATCAGCTGGAATGACATAGGGGATCATGTTAGACTTATGATGTACTGTAAACTGCGACCCTTCTAATGTCTTCTGTGTCCACATATCCAAAAATGTTACAGACTGATCCTGCTCCTTTTCCCAGGTGAACTTGATGGTGGAATGGATGCTTGAAAGTTGCTGCTTAAACTGGATAAACTCCTCTTCTGAATTTTCCCATATTAGTAGGATGTCATCTACATAGCGTAAGTATAGTGATGGGTAGCATATAGCAAGTGGAACAAAAAACTTTCAAAGCCCCATGTCTCTCATAACGAGCTCGGCTAATACTGCTGAGAGAGGAGATCCCACGGAAACTCCTTGCTTCTGTAAGTAGACTTTCTGGTTGAAGCGGAAATAGTTGTTTTCGGTGATGAAGATCAGTGCTTCACGAATGTCTAGCACTTGTTGAGCCGTAAAACCTTTTCTGAGGAGCATGGCATTGGCTAGCATTACGGCTTCAAATACAGGAACAGATGGGTATAGGGATATCACGTCCATTTTGTAGAATATGCTGGTATTGCCACGTGCTTTTGCCATGTTGGAACTAATGATGGTTTTGGCATCTATAGAGGAAGATGTGACATGTGGTGATTCCAGAAGCAGCTCTCGTAGAAACTTTGAAAGGCTTTTTCTAGGTGGTAAGTGGGATGTGACCTTTTGTTTACTAATGGTCATAGTGGCCAGTTCTCTTTATGCTTGTTATCAAGAAGCTATACAATTTTGGCATGAGTTTCATTTATTTATATCTATTTCTAACTACATGGTCTTTCTTCCATATACAGTTATTTCATTTCCAGAACATATTTTTAAAAAATTTGAAGGAGAAGGCTACCTACAGGACAGAAAAATTGTTTCTGCCATGCAACTCTATTACATATAGACAAGAAATTCTCCCATCAAGTATGATGGACTATTTTCTATGAGAAAGTAGAGATTGAAGAATTGAGAAGAGTAACTAATATTTCTACAAATACAATAACTTATACTGTCCATCAGAACATAACTAAAGTGTGATAATACATTTTAAATGCCTATTTTTTGTAATCAAAATGGAATCCTGCATGTGAAGTCTGGATTCTTATGATTCTAGTCTTGTATAAGATTTAACAAATACAAATAATAATAAAATTCAAGAAAATTATGTTTTTATCCAAAATATTCAAAGTTTATTAAATTAATTATTTATTTTAATGAAAATTCTTATTAAACAAATATAAGTTTGCTACGAGAATGAGACTTAATAATAAATATAAGTTACCAACAACTCCTGGTCCATCAACTCTTTTCTCTTCTCCATTTTCATCAGTTATTATCCAATGTCTCGTTTCTAACTGACACGATTCAGATTTTGGTGCATCCTCGTCCATCGACATACTAAGTAAGTCATAAATAAGACCTTACATTCTCGAAACAAAGTTATATCTAGCTATCATTTAAATAAAGAAAATACTCACGTGATACGATAAGCATGAAAAAAATAAGGAGGATTTATGCTACTCGATTCAGGCAAAAATGAAGTTGCCACCGAAACAGTAATGTAGTCAGTTTTTAATTTGCAAGATAGATCCTTGTAAAATCTGTAACAAATTAACTTAAATTAAAAGTCTAAATATACTTTTTCAAGCTTAAATAACTACTAATTCGAGTTTTACCTGAAAGGTTGATCATGCATCACAACAAATTCGTTATTACAAAGTTGTCTAGCATATGTCGTCAACCATTCAGAAAATGTTCTACCTGAAACATACATATTCACAATTGCATTGAAGTTTGAAGTCGACAATAAATCGAATCTCTAATTTGAAAATACACGCAGACAAAATTTTTTCTTCCATAAATCACAAAATTGATTTTAAATTTACCCGAAATGAACACATCGGTCGCACGATACTGGAGTGCATTCTGATCCAGACTTAAATAGAAGATGGTGTTTGGTTCATAACCATCCACATCAGACAGAGCAATGAACTGCGTCAGTGCCGAATGAAGACAAAATGTCAGAGGCATGCATCCACGTAAACAGTCTCTATTCTGAAAAATTTTTTAAGTGTTTGTATTTTTTACACAAAACAATGTAAATCTCTAAAGACTATTCATAACCAGATGATGACACAAAAATATAGTGTTTTGGATTTGTCATACTATGGGAACAACAACACAGTGGAGCCAATTTTATCACACAGCAGAGACTTATTTTAAATAACTTTATATATAGAGTGATTGAAAGGTGGTGAATAAAACTTTACAGGGTGCTCAATTAATCAGTTTACAATAAAATGTGTTAATTTTCCCATGTATGACTCTCAAAGAGAACTGGTATTATTTGTAGATGCAAAACGTGTATAGCTAGCAAAGGCAACCACTTTGAGTATCTCTTGTAAATTTAATTTTTAACTTGTCAATGTCAAAATTTGAAATAAAGATTTTTCTCTGTAACTCACTTACATTTGAGAATCAAATGGAAGAATGTCAACATTTTTTACTGTAAATCGAATAATTGATCACCTATAAAGTTTTATATATCACTTTCCAATCATCTTGTATATATTCCTTAACTGTTTTTGAAGTTCTTTTGTACTCCTTAAGCCAGCGCTGTCCAACTTATCATAGCCCGCGGGCCATATTTTCTTCACCAAACATTTCGGGGGCCAAGAAGGTTGATAAACCACATGACATTTGCATAGTGCTACGGTTCAGTAAGCACTAATTGGTTATCGAGTCCGATGTTGACGCTATAAAAAGGCGACAGTTCGACACACCGGATATACGTCACTCTCGTCTAAGTTCGACTTGGGAATTTTTTTTGTTCAATAATAAATGTGAATTTTTCTTCCTGGAAAAAATAAGACATTCCCTGAAAATAAGAGCTAGCGCATTTTTCAGAGCAAAAATTAATATAAGACACTGTCTTATTTTCAGGGAAACACGGTAGTAAAATAATTTTAATATTAATAATAATAATTTAGTAACATAAATTTATTCGTAGTAAAATGTACTCGCGGGCCGTGAAAATTATTTGGTTGGCCGTATACGGCCCGCGGGCCGCCAGTTGGACAGCGCTGCCTTAAGCAATTAACAAACTGCAATATTAAACAAATATTTATTTTGTGTTAAATAACTTTACATGTTTAAAGATAGGAAAGAGACTACAGAAAAATATTGATCTGGTTGTGTGATTTTGTGTTCTTGTGATGTGAAAAACAAATGTAAATATTAAATTTTTGTGTAGTTTTTATTATTTATTACACCAATATGCATCTTATTCATATTTATTATCATTTATTATTTTATTATTTCAGTAATTATTTCAGAAAATAATTCAATGAAACTTAGAAATTAGTTAACAAGTTAAACATGAATTATTAAATTGTTAAAGTTTCAAAGTTGACAAATATTGAAACATTAATCAGAGAAAGTTAATTTACATTACTTTCAGTTAAATTAACCAAAGTTGTTTTTACTTAAATGTTTTGAAGACTTGTCTTATTTTCTATTTAAAGTATCATATTTCTTATAGAGCAGTTCACAATTAATACTCCGTTATATAAGATGATTATGAGGTCTTTCCCGTGTAAAATTTTATTTAGCAAAAACTATTATAGGCACAATGAACATATTTCACTGTAATGTAAGGCCAGATATAATGTTTTTGTTTGACACCCGACCTTTATGACTCTGAGTATGCCTAATTGATATTCAATATTTTTTGCCACGCTTTCTCCAACATCTCTGAAAACGTAGAAGCAATAGCATCTGTTATCCTCCTTTTCAGTGTCTCACCATCAGAAACACATGTTGAATAGACTGTGCTTGATATAGCTCTGTTAGAGTTTTTCCCACAGAGCTGTGTCTGGCAATCAAAACAACTTTACTACATTTAAGATTCATACTTTATTCTGAATGATTTTACTTCTACATAAAAGCATTAAGAAACTGCAGTTTCATTTGTTATCTGATGAATTTAATATTCTAATGGCTAATGCTAGATCTGTGCTTTTACAATCTAATTGGTTTCCAAAGACACCACTACTATACAAGTTACTGTAAATTAAAGGTTTATTGCAATATCAAATTAATTGTAATTATAATATTGTAAATTAAAGGCTTTTCTGTAAATATTGAAGTGTATAAGATGCAAGAATTAAATAATAAAATGTCAAAGAAATATTTGTTTAATTATGCAAATTTTAAAGGGATTTACTGTTTGAAGCTTTTTAAAATTAAAATTTGTAATTTCTTTGTAAATTCTTAAAATTAAAATTGTAACATTAATTAAAACATAAATAAAGTAAACTGGTCAGTTGAATATATAAGGGACAAAGCAAAAATATATTCAACTGACCAGTTTATTTTATTTATGCTTTGATTAATGTTACAATTTCATATTAATACATATTTTTACATTGAAATTCAAATATATTGTCAAGTATTACCACATTTAATGTGGAAGTTCACTTTACACATATATAATACTTGTTGCAAAACTTGATACTATTAATTAATTAATCAATAAAAAATGTCAATTTATATTATTAATCACAACCATCATTATATTGTGACTTGATCAAGCCTTGTGTTCTTAACTTTTCTTCCTTTCCTTTAAAACTAGTACTTCCAGGCTTTGTCCATCTGGCCTCACCTTATTGGTTGGTCTGATGTATTCTTTAAAACAAAAGGGGTAGAACCTGATTGGTCAGAAGAACTAGTGGAAAAAGGGGATATAGGTACGGAGAAGGACGAGACAGACATCATTCAAGATCAAGTTTTTGTAGGAGTAATACATGTGTGTCAGGAAGAACAAAAAGAAAGTTTTCTTCATCAGCAAAGAAAGAAGACCCTCGGTTAATTTGCCAACCATCTCCCCTTTTTCTAAATTCTTCCATCTTAATTTTTATTTCTTCAAAAACCCCTATCTTGATCCAGGGCCCTACTACTATTGTAAAAACTAGTTAAGTTAGAATTAAGTTAGACAGGTTTCCTTTGTTTATTGTCACATGGGGCATCGTTGGTCATATTGTAAATTTTGTCCCAATTTACTGTATAGCTTTTAGTGTAATTTGGATATATTTTTTTTTGGTCACAAAAATTTCTCTTAACGAAACATTAAATTCCTTAAATTTTATCTATGCTGAGCAATTCTCAAAGTCAATTTTTTCCTCAGTTACAATATTTTTTGCTAGATTCTATTTTTCCAGCAGGTTATAATTTAAGTTAAAATACTTCATAAAAGAAAACACAAAATTACCTGAAATCCTGCCACGGCTGTATACAAATCTAAAAATGATTCGGAGCGGTAACGATTGTACAGACTCATGCTTCCCATAAGTCTAAGAAAACATAAATAAGTATTTTTAATTTGAGTAATTTTGTCTATGTAAATTAGTATACTAAATTATACACACCCCGGAGAGGTTAACTTTTGTCCATTATGAATGCGATACGAACAACGAAGATCATCTGGAAATTTCACTTTCAATTTTTCTTCCGCGTCATTTAATTCTTCTTCTGAAACTCCATCTAACAAATAAATCCAAATTTTTTGTAAATATATAAATAAATAAAAATAAAATACAGGGTAATTTGGATCATTTTCACATAGAAACAATCACAGCATGTTTATTTGCATCTCAAACAATTATTTTTACCAGCCTTTGATATATTTTAATATTTTATAAAAACTTGGACTATTTTTTCTCCAACTTTACATGATCAGAATATATATAACTCTGTTCTTAATGATGTTTTAGTTCTTTCTAAATTATTCATTAAAATCAATTTAAAATTACTGAATCAATAAATGAAAACACAAACATACTTAGAAATAATGTTGACTCTTGATTTTACAGATGCTTGTATAATGGATTTTGGAAACAATGGATAAAATCTGTTTGTTTGATGTATCTGTAAGAGTGGAGATATAGTATTTGAGAATATAAAACAGCAAGTATTAGTGCAGGAAATGCACTAATACTTGCAATCAGTTGCAGCTGTTCTACTGATTGCAACAGCTGCAACTGATTGCATTCCCATATTGAAATGTAGGGTTTATTTATCCTATATTTACCATAATTTAGGCAGTTTGTCTTTCTATCACATCTTGTAAAGTTTGTTTTATAGTTAATGACATTTTCAGATATAATAAACAATCAGCAATTATTGGATCGATACTTCTCCATATCAATCAGTTACATCAACAGTTATAGTAGAAGAATTTATAATATTTATTATATGACAGACAGGGATGACTCAATGGGTGAGGCAACAAAACTGACAATTGAGGTAATATTAGGTAATCTATTCAATACACAAAAAGATTACTATTATTTTTATGTACCTTTTATTGAATTATAAATTACAGGACAGTATTCATTCATGAAATCGGTGATCTTGTCCCAAGCAGATTTAATCATGGCATAACAGTGAATGTACCGACCCATATCTTTGTACCAGTGCCAAAAATGTTCTTTCCAACTTCTGCTCGGTGGACACCTAAATATTATAAATAAAAACTAGTTAGAAATTTAATTATTTAAAAAAAATTAAAGTTAAAAAAACTTTTTAATATATAACATTGTCACAATGCTGAGCTGCAATTAATCCATCAAATTAGTAGTGGCTTTCTCCCATACATCATTTTTCCTTTAACAATACAGTTGTGCCGGTCATCTATCTAACATCTTTTGGGGGAAATTTTTGAATTAAAATAACATGACTTATGGTTTGCATCAGAAGTTCATATATAGTTAATAGGAGCATCCTGCCCTAAGGTTTCCATACTGGGTCTCGTCTTTCATTTATCTAACTCCATTCTTGAGATTAAGGAAAGATGGACAGACAGGTGACAGTCTTTCCAACAGTTTTTTTTTTGGTTAAAATTAAGGACTACAATAGACAGTAAGCAAGATAAGCATTGCATGGGGAGGTACCTCAAGCAGTAGGATAAGTCTTTAACAATTAAAAATATAAACACAACAAAAATGTTTTTATTAAAATATAATCTGAAAATGCTTTTTAAATGTATATTTCTACAATAATTATATTTTTCAAAAATAGTGTAAATATAAACAATAGTAATTGTCAGTTTTCTAGTGGCATTCGAAGCAACAGCTGGCACACTGCAATACTCAGCAATCTTGAACATAGCAACAGCTGGCAGTGTTGAAACAAAAATATTATAAAAGAAATGCTGTGTTTTGAGAAAGAGATACATCCTTTTTAGTGGATGTATCTCTTAGTGGATGTATGACTAAAAAGCCATTATTGTTTATCCACAACAATTCATTTATGCACAGACAAAATAGAAATAGTATATACTTATGGATATTTAAGTTTAAAACTATTGGCAACATTTGCAAGTTCATTATGTACAGTACTGTACATCTAAACAGGAGTTTTTGTAAAATATTTTTATGTGACATGTACAGATACCAAAAATAACAAGTGGCCACGTGTAAATGTAATAGAGATCACTTGCAATCCCATCCATATTTTCTCATATTTAGGTTTTTATTATTGAAAAAAAAACTTTAGTCAAAAACTATCTAAATAAAAAATACAGGATCTTCAAAATGAATTCTACCATTTTAAACTACTGTAATTATGTTAATTATTAAACAAGAAGTATGCAACATATACCAATTATTAGAGTAACCATCCAAGTTTTGTTTCCTATCTGCATTCAAACATCTTGTCATCTAGTACCTCTACAAAGTGCCATAAACAAAAACGGCAACTCTGCAACAGAGAAGGCATTTTCTGTTCCGCAATTCATAAAGTTGGGATCACTAGTCGTCATGCAATATGGGAATCTGCAGGAGCTGTAGAATCATGGCCTCTGTGGGAGGAGTGACAATAGCCATTGCAAACATAGGAAGAATGAGTATTGGCTGAACGTGTGACATGTGACACAAGGTGCACACATTGAGAAGTTGTAATGAGCAAATGTGAAATTTGTTCATTTTCTAATGTTTTAATGTACATTATGACATTCTCGAATAATAACTAACATAATTATAAAGTAAGTTAAAATGGTAGCATTCTTTTTTTGGAATACACTATATTTTGATGATACTCAGTAGATGAAGTTATTTCACATAGAAACAATCACAGCATGTTTATTTGCATCTCAAACAATTATTTTTACCAGCCTTTGATATATTTTAATATTTTATAAAAACTTGGAAAACTTGGACTATTTTTTCTCCAACTTTACATGATCAGAATATATATAACTCTGTTCTTAATGATGTTTTAGTTCTTTCTAAATTATTCATTAAAATCAATTTAAAATTACTGAATCAATAAATGAAAACACAAACATACTTAGAAATAATGTTGACTCNGAATAATAACTAACATAATTATAAAGTAAGTTAAAATGGTAGCATTCTTTTTTTGGAATACCCTGTATTTTGATGATACTCAGTAGATGAAGTTAAAAAATTGACAACACCAATTGAAAATATTTATTTTTGTACATAATTCAGTAGTTTGAGATTGTTCTGAACTAATATTTTCATTTATTGAAATTGAGTGAGAAAATGAACATATGAATTATTTTATGATTTAATTATTAACTGCTGTTGTTATTTTTGTCAATGATAGCTGTAGTACTTGTGATTGGAAGTAGTCTCACATATTGACAAAAAAAAGCAATATCAAGAATCCTGCACTTTCAGCATCCTTACAGATTTAGTATACAGTAGAGCGTCGATTATCCGAATCAATTGGGGACTGGGGTTGTTCGGAAAATCGATATTTCGGATAACCGATTATGTATGAAAAATATATTAACCTATCCCATGTTGAAATTTTTCTCCATTGCGTGTCGCTTTGCGTTGAATTTTCGTCGATGTTAAGCCTAACAAAGACTATTGTATAGTTAAAAATTATTTTTTTATTTTGTACAAACAAAATAAATATATTGAAAAATATAAAAACAGTAAAAAATTATACTTCAGAAGTTAATTTAGTATCAAAAATGTAAAATATTTGAGTAGCCCAAGACATAGCCAAAGATTGAAGTGCCACAGCACTGGCGAAAATTTAAATTTGCCGACTGGAATTCTTTCGGATAATTGACTTTCGGATAATCGATGCTCCACTGTATTTTAATATTTAAATCATCAAACTGGTAATTATTGAAAATAAAATCGTGTTTACTGTCTGTTTATATATTAAATGTTCATATTACTGTAGACTTAAATAAATCTACCCTCTACCTTTAGTGTACTATTAATGAACCTCAAAAATAAATTTGTCTAGGACCTCACAAATCCTAAGATCACCTTTGTGATAAACTAGATACTAACAAACAAAATATTTGACAATTTTCCAAACATTAAAGCATGAAAATTAAAAGTAAATCTAAACATCACTCAGTCTTCATGCTTTGCAAAATCATATTCTTTATTTTGTTTGCATGTAAGTTTTTGTTCTTTACACTGCTAATGTGTAATATTGAACAAAATACATTCATTTATCTATCTATTAATATTTTCTACATAAAAAAGTTATAAATTTATTAATAAAATATTATTTTACAAGTTTAATTAATTAAATTTATTGTAGCTTGACAAGAATTCAACTGTATCAAAATTAAGATTGAAATACTATAATTACTACTTTAAATAACTTTTTAAAATTCATTTAACATACTAAAGGTTAAATGAATTAATTTATTTTTAAATTAATATTGAAATTTCAATTTATATTCATCAAAAAATAACAAGCTAAAGGATAACACCTAAAAATATGCATCAAGGAGCCACTATTAATAGGGCTAAACCCAGTTAAAATAATTAATGTTTACCCAGTTTTTCTAACTTCACAATTTGGATACAATATATTATCTTATCCATATATATATGTATATGTATAAGATTATATATATACACACACACATTACAAATACATACACACACTGCACATAAAAATAAAATATTCCGTAAATAAAACACAAATAAATAATGCTACTTTGGAATATATTTTTGTTTTACATCATTCATAAAATATTGCATAATAATTAAGCTAATTATTACATAAATAAATTATTGTAATCTCATTAAATAACCACAATTGTAAACACAGAAGCAAACTGTAATAAAAGGGCTGTAAAACTAACATAATAGCACTGTTAAATTTAAAGGATTTCTTAGTGCATTTGTTTGTTAAAAACTAAAGCAGAATATGTGAATATGTTATGTGTAGTACACAAAACACATTTATTTCAATTACAGATTTGGCAAGAAGACAAACTATTTGATCAATGACTATCCAGTTTAAGAATAAAAGCAGTATGGTGAAAATTTGAAGACAACAATAAGTCCCAACAAAAACAAATATTTGAGACCAAATAATTGTAGCAATAAATGACAACAATGTAAGGTAAGCCACACAAAAGATGACAAATCTTTCATTAGATTTCATTGCAATACAGGCACATGAAGCAAATGGGCAAGATATAATTTATTATTTAAACAACAAAGCAGAACACAACTTACAAGAGTACACAGATTGAAAAATACAAACAAGTGTAACATAAATTACCAAAAAATCTGTGGCTAATACGATGGAAGACATAGTAAAGGATGATGCCCATCTTAGAATCAAGTACTCAGCTATTGTAGAAAATAAATACATCTTTAAAATTTATGCAAAAACAAAAATAGCAGATACATGAAATATAAGAAGAAACAAACAGTGAAGTGAGTAATAATACAAAAGCAAAAATTCCACAAATAAATGAAAAGAAAAAAAAAACAATTTTTTTTGAATAATTATGCTAATAAAACCAAGAGGTAAATTAAAACTAAATATTGATTGTACTGCCAACTGCAATGTAATGAGTAGTGATGTAACGAATATTCGGTTACTATTCGGTATTCGGCCGAATACAGAATACCTAAAAACAGGAGTAAGAAATAACAAAAACACAGTAAATTAATCATTTTGGTGTTTAGATTTAATGTTATGGGGTTAGTGCTGTTTGTTTATATTTATTTATAACTTATAATATGCACAAAATAAAAAAAAAAAATAATATTAGTCACATGTATTCACAATTTATAATTACAAAGATCAGCGCACATACACACCTATTCATTCGAGAATCATCGCACATCTGAGGGTCTGGGCCTGCCTATCCTTCTTTTTAAGCGCTCATCTTTGCACTTCCCTATCTCTTTCCCTTATATATATCTATATAGTCCACGTATGCCTATGCATACATCATAATACGCGCTCACGATACTTTGATTCGTCATTTTTCCGTTGTAGATTTTCCATTTTACAATTACGTGACTCATAGCCTGGTGATATTGGAGAAAAGAGACAGATAGGAGGTCGGTATAAGTTGCAGTTATGATTTCACAGATTCGAGACAGCTTGGTAGCTCGAACGGTCCCAGGCTTTCGCCCGTGCATGCTAAATGACTTTCCTTACAAGCATTTAGCTTTCCGAAGTCTATGACAACAATTGTTTGGCATTGA